TAGTCTGTCTGCACTAGAAAAGTCTCATTCCTAAAATGCACCTTGCTAGATTCTATAACACCTCTGTGCTTTGAAAGCCAGAACTAGTCTGTACTCTTCGATGACTGTTTTTATTTTGAATCGGTATATTTCTTCTTCCTCATTCTTTAGTTCCAGACACCAATATATTTTTTTCCCCCACGAAGCATGAGCACAGCCTGAAGTGCAAGCCAAGCCCTCAGAAATGTGATAGTTGTTACCAAGGATTTGAGAGGAAGATATAAAACCTAGAATCAAGATTTAAATGCTGCACTCTAGTATCCGAGATGGCACGGGTCCATGGCAAATGGAATAAATAAGGCATTCAGGAAGCCACAGAATTGGTTCTGGTTCCTTAGCTGGTGAACTCAGCTGAAAACCCCAGCACACCGCTCCATTCTGTCCCACCTGGCTGTCCCGGATTTTGTAAAATAAACCCCAAATGCTTCTGCTGTGGATGCCCGGGCAATTAGCTTTGATTACGATGGACTGCTTGTCTCAGATCCATACCTTTGGTCTACTGTGATCAAAAAAGGAAACATTAAAATGAGGCGGTCCCTGAAAACAATATGAACAACTCCAAGAAATAATGTAACTACTCTGTGACGGGTCGAGAATCCTCAGCCTTCATTTCCTTGCCTGCTCTGCTCCACGCAGAATTAGGAAGGCAGTCACCTGCGCGGAGGGTTTTGAATGGCCAGGGAGGGGGAGAGGAGAACCGAATGTGAACTGGGGGATATGGTACCCCTGGGGTGGGGGCTGTGACTCTAGGAGAGAGGAATAGTTTGGTGAGTGACCAGATCACCAGAACTTTTAGGGAGCCCTCAAAGGCTAGCCTGATCCACTTTTCACTCGTGAAAGAAACAACCAGAGTGTAGGGGCGGGGAAAGCTTCATATCAGCCCCTCCACCAGGGCGGGAGGCTGAGTCTGCTTGGTGGTGAGAGCCAGCCTTTCTGCCTGTTTCCTAGCTGGTGGCCCGCCGAGCTCTGCCTCTGTCTGTCCAGTGTCCACCGCGGAGCGCGGCCAGGGCTCCCTTTTCCTTGGGCTATGTACTTTCAACCAGTTTTGAGCAGCCCCGTTTCAGATTGGCCTTTTTATGTTTGATATAAAGAATAGTTGTTGGCCAATTTCATCTTTTCATCGCTGTTCTCTAGGCCTGAATCCAAGCAGTTTGTCAGATGCTCATTAACTCCCCCTTTGGCTCTTTCTAGTGTGTCTCCTAAGCTCATTGTGCCAAGAACTAACGCTTTCTTTTACACGATTCTCTTTCTCTGCTCCATCAGGGAGACAAATTACTTTCCAAAAGGGATCGCCAGGGATGGTTTAATGAGAATTTCTTTGGGGCTAGGCATGGAACGCAATGTAGTTAACATTCGGTGGACTTAATTGGACTTTTCTTTTCTGCCTCTTTTAAAAAAAAAATCTGAAGCTATCCTGTTAATCTCTCATTTGTAATCAATTGTGTTGACTAAACAAAAGTCTAGGTCGTCTTTTCTTCCTGTCCCAGACAATCCTTTGTTGCCTCTAAATGCCTCATTCTTAAGTGATCCTGGTCTCGTAGATGGGCCCGATTGTTGACAGTTCATTATTGCGCTTTTGTCCATTTAATCTTTCTTGCTGTGTTTTGCATGTGCATGCCTTAATGAGCTCCGTTGGCAATTAACATGTTTCTAGGAGCAAACTGGTTGCTCAGACGGTTGAGAGGGAAGTGCAGGGAAAAGGGCAACGCAGCTGCCTTGAGGTTGTTTATTTCCCAGCGTTTTCTCAAGACTCCAGTCCCCTCTTTGGCAGCCCCCCACTCCTCCTTCTCCCTGCTCCCTCCTCTCCCCCAGCCCATTCAGCACACCTGGATGCCTCATTGCTGTGACTCCTGCTCCTGGCTCAGGCAGTCCTCCATCCTCCTGTGAGCCAAACGGGGACCTTACAGACCCGCTTCTGCAGCCAAGGCAAGGAGCACAGTGCTCCCCCAAATATGTCTGGATGCTGGCAACTTCTCTGTGTCGCTCTCTGCAGAGAGGAACCTCTAACCCGCCTAAGGCAACAGGACTGTACAATCTGTTATGTACAAGGCTGTGGCTTTGGAACAAGGGGAGGGTTTTTTTTTTTTTTTTGAGTTTTGCTGGCAAGATTGCTGAAGTGTGAGCAGTCATGGACAGAACAAACATCTTGTAGGGGAAAAGATAATTGGAGTCTTTTTGTGTCTGTGACAGGGCCCCCCCTCCCCCGCAATTTGATTCTCCCCCCCCCCCAAATATTTTAAGGGTGGCCTCTTCAATTTAATCAAGGTTAGAATATGAACACACAGCTGATGACTACCTTGTTGAAGTCATTTACGGATATTGCAAACGACAAGTCATGCAAACTGTTTAACATGAAGAGGACGGAAAAAATCTGAAAGACAGAGCCTTTTCACCCTTCAATTCCGATGCACGGTGAGGAACTAAGGAGGACCCCAGTTCAGATGGTGACTAAGAGCGCTTAGCGTTTGCTTTCAGAACCTGCACTGTCTGTGAAAGGTATTCAGTGATTCAGACAAAAGGTTCCCTTTCTCTTCTCACTACTCTTCAGGTGAAGGAATCCTTGAATGAAGAAAACAGGCATCTCAAACCCGGAGGAATGACTGCAAACCTGTGGGAGGCAGAGCGAAGCCCTATAGACACAGCCTCATTCTGTTTACCCACAATTACCACCAGATGTGAAATAACACCTTCTCAGGTGAGAGCGATTGACAGGTTAAGTAACAGGCAGGTTATGGGAAAACCACCTCGAGGAGGTTGGTGTAAGCAAAACTCGGCTCCGCTTTGCCCCAGAGCCCCAGCTCCCGCAGAGAAGAGCAGTCCCAGAGAGAAACGCCTGCTGCTGCCCTCATTGGCTTCATCTCCTCGGCTGCCTGGTTTGCAAGCAGGTCCCCTTCGCCCCCTTCAGAACGGCACCGGAAACACCTCTCTCCAGTTTTATGAGCTGGGGACCCTCTCGCCAAGAGAAGAATTTCTGAAACAACGTTCTCTTACTTGATGGTTAGAAAGTTATTTCCCCGATGGGGACATCCCACCTATTTTTAATTTATGTTTTCTTCTTAAAGGAGCACTTGAACCTTATTTCCACACACAGGCCAACTTTTAAATCCTGTTCTCTAAGAGGATGCTTTTGCATAGGATGTTCACCCCTTGCCCAAAGTTCTGGAACTACTTAGAGAGAATGTGGGCTTGTGCTGGCCATTGGTTGGGCTCCAGGAAGCACATCTGCAAAGGATCCTCTCAGGAATGCAAGAAGGAAGGGATTCTGAGGGAGACCGCTGTCAGGGGCACCCACGATCTCCCCGAATGGGGGCGGGCTGTGTGGAGGAGGCGGGGCTCATACAGCCCATTCTGAGAACCGGGGAAGGCGCCTGCTCCCCACACCGGCCCCGGAGATAGGGAGATAGGTGTCTGGGAAAGGCCAGGCGGCGTTTCCACGTCCTTAGCCGCCAAGCTGTCCTCACCCACCCCGGGGTTTCCTGGGGTTTGCGGCATTTACCGACATTCCCAACTTCAATCTGCATCTCCCTCCGGGTCCCAGTCTCCCCGCAGCGAACTGCAGCCAGAACGAGCTAGCATTTAAATTCCTCCTCGCTTCCTCCTCCCCCCCTCCTCCGGCTGCATCTTCCCAGACTTGGGGCGGTGGGGGAGGCTACAGAAACGAGGACGCTCTCCTTTCAGGAAATGGAATTCTAATGTACACGTTCCTATTTCTGCCTCGGAGGCACTAAAAATAGCCCCGCGACAGCCTGAGGAAGCTGTCGCCTTCCTCTGTGCAAACAACATCGACACTTCTCCTTCCCCGCGCAATGGGTCTGCGGGCTGGAAAGGCGGCCAGGAAGCCACCTTCGGCGGTGGCCAGGGCGAAGCATCCACCTTTCAGCCCGTCCTCCTCCAAGGACAAGAACTGGAAACAATATAGATCCCCGCATAGCCCGGGGTTCGAATCCCAGCCCCACCTCGTCCCCATAACCCTAGGCATGTAATTTGGCTCCTCTCGGCCTCAACAAGTCAGCCCGTTAAGTGGGTATAACCCTCCCCATAGCGAGCTGTGAACACTCGGAAGGACGTGTGTCCAGGGCCTGGCTGGACCAGGCGCTCCGTAGATGCCAGGTTTTCAAGCCCCGTAAGCTCCAGCCGCCACCAGCACTGGCCGCCTGCTGTGTCCCGGGCTGTGGGGTGGCCAGACAACAAACCACGCTCAGAGTGGCTTGGGGATTTCCTCCCGCGTTCGCTCTCTTTCCCCCCAAAGAGCCCGCACCTGCCGTGGGAACCGCGTCGCAGCCGCGCCGCCCTCGCGCCGGCAGAGGCAGCACCGCGGAGGCGCCCGCCCGCCGCCTTCCCTCCCGCGTCTCCTCCCCGCGCCGGACCGGGGCCGGGACGTGGGCGGAATCGCCGCGCGGACATTAAGATTGGGGGGCGGGGAGGGGAGGTCGGCGCGCCCAGCCAGTAATCCGAGCTCGTTGATTATCCAGATTCGGATCAAACGGGGCGCGGTGGCCGGCCCCCTCCTGGGGATGATTAGATGATTAATGGAATGCCGTTTGAAGGGTCTCTGTTTTCTCTCTTAATTTGGGTCATTACTGAGGAAGCAGGCGTGAGATCGTTGCATCAGCGCGCCCGGGTGGTGGCGGGGAGGGAGCTGGCGGTTCGGGAACCGGCGCGGCGATCGGGGGCGGGAGGCGGCGGCGGCGGCTCGGGGTGTTTCTCTCCCCCCCCCCCCCCCCCATCTGCCGCGCGGACCAGGGAGTCCCTGGGACTCAGCCCTCGCCTCCGGGAAAGGCTGGGAGGGACAGCGGCCCCATTGGGTCGCCCAGCGAAGGGTGCAGCCCAGAAGCGCCCCGACTGGGCTAGTGCCGGGCCCTTTACCCCGCGCGAGGACGCACCCCAAATTTGTTCCCCAACATCCAGCTACTTGGTACCCCTCTTTAAAAGAAAAAAAAAAGTCATCCAAATAAAAGCAACACCCAGAATTCCAAGCGTCGGAACAGTCACCAAAGAGAAAAATTTCATCACGTGGAGGCCTTTTCACCCAAGCTTTGGGGGGGAGAAGGGGGCTGGGGAGGTCTTAGTGCGCAGGCGCAGTAGGAACACTGGGTTGGCCTCCCAGGGGGTCCAGACGCCCCGAGGAGGTCGCCTTTGGGCAGGGAAACGCTGCCCCTGTGCATTGCCTGCTCCTTCTTCGGCGTTTGCTGAGCGGATGGCGCCGCGAGGGGACGGGGTCGGGAAAGAAAACGCGCACAATGACCTGTTTATTGAGTCACATATGTGTGTATTCCGTGTTCGGATGGACAGGAGGGTTTACATGGCTGTAGAATGGCGGCTGAGGCGTTGCTGTCCCAGGCCGGCGGCCGGAATGAAATACGTGTCGGCGCACAAGGTTTCAATAAGTTTCCCGAATGAATATACAAAGGTGGGAGCCAGGCTGCTCGCTTCCAGTCATCGAGGAAACGTTTAAACTTTCCAAAAATTCGCTGGTTTCGATAAATAGAAGTTAGCCTCTCTGCTACAGTCTCTTCCCTTTGAATTGTAGACACGAGTGGACAGGCGCGCTCTGCCGGCCGGAGAGTCTGGGCCGGAGGGAGGGGCCGGCCTGCGCGCTCAGCTCTGCACGGTCCGGGCCAGGTCCTTGGCGGCCGGGGCGGCGGGGCCCGCGCTGTCATGCAGTTTGCGCACGTGCTTCTTGAGGTCAAAGTTCCTGCAGAAGCCCTTGCCGCAGGTGGCGCAGGTGAAGGGCTTCTTGTCGTTGTGGGTGTGCATGTGGAAGGTCAGGTTGTAGACCTGGTGGAAGGCCTTGTTGCAGATGGTGCACTTGTACTGCTTCTCGCCGCTGTGGGTCAGCTTGTGGTTCTTGTAGTTCCCTGCAAAGACCCAACACAGCACGGTTCGGGGATGGCGTGGCAAGGGGAGGGAGGGGGTGGCGTCTGGGCCTCCTGGGGTCGGCTCCGGCTCCAGTGCTCTGCGAGCGGAGAAGTTGTCAAACTTCCTCAGCGTCCAGCCCGTAGCTCGCAGGACTGGCTGGACGGCCGAGCCCCAGCCCAGCCCGGGCCCTGGTCCCCCCCCCCCCCCCCCCCCCCCCTGCCGGGGCCCCAGGCCCCAGGCCCCAGGCCCCAGGCCCTCCCTGGGGCCCTCCCGCTGCGCTGGGCCAACCTGGACACTTTCGCGCCCCCAGTGACACTTTCTTAAATCGTTCCCACGTGGTGGGTTTTGCCTAGGTTTTTTTTTTCCCCCTTATTTTTAATTATTATTAGAAAGGGGAGTTCCGGCTACAATGGGAACCTTTTCTGTAAGGCAACACACTCTCTCCTACCTTCTTTCCCTCTGTCCCTGCCCTCCTTATTCCTGGCTCCTCTGTGCAACCAACCAGAATCCGGCGAGGTCTGCTAGCTGCCCGGGAGCTCCTACCAAACCCGGCCCAGCCCGATAGCAGAGAAACGCGGTGCGCCTGTTCCTTCTCTCCAGACCGCTCAGCCTCTCCGCTAGCCGGCCCGCCGGCACCCCAGGTGAGAGGGGCAGAGGCCTCCGCCCCGCACCCTACCTTTCTGGTGGAAGCCTTTGCCGCAGAACTCGCAGACGAAGGGCTTGTAGCCCGCGTGGATGCGGATGTGCGTGTTGAGCGTGGAGCTGCGGTTGAACGCCTTGCCGCATTGGTTGCATTTGTGAGGCTTTTCCTGCGGAGAGGGGCACGAAGGCAGTGAGGCCCGGTGCTGGGTGGCGAGAGGCCACCTGGGGGGGGGGACCTTGAAAGAGCACCTTGGAGGGAGGGGCGAGGGCTCTCGGAGGAGCGGGGTACGGGGAACCCTGGGCCATCCTCTCCCAGCTATGCCGCTTGGGAGCAGGGCGTTGCGCGCGGGTGGGCCGGACCCGGGACCACGGGGCCACGTACCTGGGTGTGGATGATTTTGTGTCTGCATAGCGTGCTGGCCTGGCGGAAGCCTTTGCCGCAGACTTTGCACACGAACGGCCTGGCTCCGGTGTGCACAGGCATGTGGCGGGTGAGGTTGTAGTGGGCGTTAAACACCTAGGGGAGGACACGAGGGGAGGGGCGCCTTGTGGTGTGCCCACGGGGGAGCCTGGCCTCAGCCCGGGGAGGCCACGGCTCACCCTGCCCAGGCGGCACCCCTCCCCCAACCAGAGCCCCTTTCATTCTGCAAAGGGCTCCCCAACCCTCTGTCCTTCCCAGCTGCGTGTGGCACCCCCATTGTACAGATCAGGAAACTGAGGTCGGGGACTTGAGTAGACAGCTATTGGGGAGCTCCTAGAGACCAGGGAGCGCCAGGCATCCCCCCAAGAAACAGCCGCTGCTGCTGCCCACCCCTCCCGGACCCCAGGGCCCAGGCCTCACCTTGCCGCACACCTCGCAGGTGAAGTTCTTGGGTTTGCCATCCGCGGACGCCCCGCCTGGCAGCTTGCCGTGGTGGCCCTTGCCGCCGCCGCCTCGCTCGGCAGTCAGCGCCGAGTTCTCCTTCAGCACCTGCTCCAGCGGCGCGGGCAGGCGCTCCTTGTGGGCGTAGGGGGCCGCCGGGTGGGCAAACTTGTCCGCGGCCAGGCCGGCCAGCTTGGCATTCTCCAGCAGGAAGAGCTTGGGGTGCGCTGCGGCCAGGGCGGCGGCGGTGGCGGGGGCCTGCGCCGCGGCGGCGGCGTTGAGGAGGCCGGAGGGGAAGAGAGGGCCGCCCAGCAGCTCGGAGGGCGGGTAGGCGGCCGAGTCCAGGTAGTTGAAGTAGTAGAGCGAGCCGCTGGCCGGCAGCCCCACGGCCGCGTGGTGGTGGATGACCTGCGGCTTGATGACGCGGCCGGCGGGCAGCGCGGCGGGCGCCAGGCCCAGCTCGGCCTTGCAGCACACGCCACAGTTGGTTTTGCACAAGCCGCTGGCGCCGCACACCGGGGCCCCCCCGCCGCCGCCGCCGCCGCCCGCCCGGAGGCTGCTCTTCCAGAGCTCCGAGTAGCTGAGCAGCGTCTTGGACGGCATGTCGTAGCCCAGGGGCTGCAGGGGGAGCATGCAGGGCAGCGGCGAGCAGAGGTTGAGCAGTTTCTTGCCCTGGCCGCCGCCGTCTGCCTCCAGCGCCCCGGCGGGCCGGGGCTCGAAGGGCGCGCGGGGCTCCGACGTCTTGGCCATGATGCGCTCGATGGAGAAGGCCAGCGTCTTGGAGGTGGCCGGCGACGCTCCTCCGGCGCGGGGACAGGCCGGGGGCACCATGGTCTCCAGGGAAGCCGAGCTGGCCATGGCGCTCCGGGGCGAGGCGCGAGGGCTGGGCCAGGGCGCAGCAGCCTCTCTCTCCTCTAAGTCTGCATCCCAGAGGAAAAGGCGAGGGAAGCAAACCGCAGTTTAATAAGCACCTAAGTCGGGTCCAGGTCACCATTTGCATTCAAATGAACGGGGGCAGGCAGAACAAAGTGCACCCAAGGGTACCAAATCGCCGCTCATTCATCCAGCGCGCGAAGGGACCCACCGGCCCTGCCCTGGGACTTTCAAAGGGGGTGCGGGGAGGGCTTACAAAGGACCAGGAGAGAGAGGAGAGAGAGAAAGGAAAGGAGAAAGAAAAAGAGCCTCAAATGAAGCCCCCTGAGCGACTCCCCAGACCCCGGCCTCCTCCGGCACGCGCGCCGGGGGCTGGACGGCGAAGGGGCGAAGTTACCGGAGACCCCGAAGCCGCCGCGCGTTTACCTCTGTCCCCCGCCGCCGCGGAGCTGCCTCCCGAGCCATGCAGCGCTGTCTCCGCTGTCACATTTTGATGGCAAACCTCTTCCCCTCCGCGTGAGATCCCTGTCTTTCACATGCAGCTGACATCACTTGGAGGAGTCACTTCAAGGGGAAGGACCCGGGCGGCGGCGCGGCCCCGCCAGCGGCTCCCGTGTCCCCCGCGCCCGCCGGCCGCCGCCGCCGCCGCCGCCCCTCAAACTTTAAACGGAGGCAACTGGCGCCCGCGCTCCCCTCGGGAAAGTGCGAGCGGCTCGCGAATCATAGGGAAGGAGGGGAGAGAGGGGAGGGGGAGGGGGAGGAATCGTGATCGTTTTGCCGGTGGAGAAAAAAAAAAGTGGCGGGGGGGGGGGGGGGGAAGAGAAAGAGTCCAAACCCAGGCAGAGTTCCGTGCGTGATTCACAACTTTGGGGGCCTATGGGTTTGGGGGACGCGGGGAGGACGGGGGATCCCGGTCTGGCCGCCCCAAAGGGCCCCCGTGGGTCCATCTAGTTGCCGAAGTAGCATCCCCTTCGCCGTCCGCAGCAGCGCCGGCCCCGCGCTAATAAGCTGCTGCCGTGTAGCCGCGGAGCCGGCGCCAGCCCCGAACACGCGCACATGGTAATTACCTCATTAGGATGTGGCGCAGGGACGCGAGCGCCGCGTTTGGAGGGCGAACTTGTTAATGGGGAATTATTAATTTATGCAAAAAAAAAACCCGAGCTTGCCTCGGCTGGCGTCGGAGGAGGTCGGGAGAGAGCTCCCGCCGCCTGGGGACGACCCCGCAGCGCCGGGCAGAGCGAGGCCGCGCGTGCCCGGGTTCCCTGGGACCAGGCGGCCGGCGGGGCCCCTCCCCCTCCCCGGCCAGCTCCCTGCCTCCGGCCAGCTGGAGGGCTGCGGGAGATCCTAATGGATCAGAATCGCCGATCTGCGATCGGGTGTCGGAGGAGGCAGAGCCCGGCTCCCCGGCTCCGCTGTTGGTTCAGGGCTGCTGCGCGCGGGGGAGAATGCGGAGGGCAGCTCTCCCCGCGGATGGTTGGGGACTTGCTGTTTGTCTAATTGAGAAGGGCCAGTCTCCACCTGTTTAAGAAGCAGATTGAAACGGCAGAACCTCCCCTGGATCCTATTAAAACGCTTTTCCCTCCGAAGGCCCATTCAGGGGAACCAATTTTCCGAAGTGATTCATGGAGCTGAATTCTGCCAAGGCAGCTCTTTCACTTTTCGCCACTAAAGCGCCGCGTGGAACCGGGTTTTGTGTTTTTCTAAAATAAAGAGGAGGATTATCGGGGGGGGGGGGGGGGGGGAAAGGGGCCTGGAGGGGGGCGGGAGAGACTTAGTGTGGCCAGAGGTACAAGCGGAGGGAAGAAAAGGCCCTTTTCTAGACAGGCCCCAACTAAGTTCGGAGGAATTCGGCGTTTTGTGCCTGGCGCACAAAAGCAGCGCGCTCCGCTCCCAGCCCGGCTTGGAGCGGCTGAATTCGTCTGTTTGCAGACCGCTCCACCTGCGTATCACAACAAACTGCTCGGAGACGCTTCAACAGGACGGATGCTCCTGGCGACAACAAAAGTGGCGGAGGCTGAGGGCTCTCCTGGGGCGGAGGCCGGCTAGCAGGAGAGTTAGGGAGAGAATGAGGTTTGGGAAAAGGAGGAGGGGGGGGGGAGTGTGTGCATATTGTGTGTTTTTTTCTTTTTTTAACTTTTGGATGGTTTTGTTTCCGGGACAATTATATCTTGCCTGCCAGCTTTTGCAAGACCACCGGCTTTGTGGCCGCAACCAGAGTCTAAGAGGATTATGGTGGGTATAATATGAGCAAACAGGGTTGAGGGTTTGACAGTGAATTCCATCTCCAAAGACACAGGACTTTGTGGCGCTTGGGAAATGGCTGGTGGACACAAACCCTCATCCCTTCCACCAGGAAAGGCCTGGAGGCGCTGAGCATCCCGCCCCAGGCCTCTGAGGCCAAATGTCCCAGGAGAACCTCGAGGGGAAGGCACCGGGAGGGAGCGGTTAGCTTTAACTTCAGGCAAACTGCTCCTTTTCCCCTTCAGAACTTCTACCCACCCCTCCTCTGGGTGTATTTGCAGGCAGGATGTCCGCAGCAGGTAAGGAAAGGAAGAGTGTACTTGGACAGCAAGGAGTAGGAACAAAGAAAGATCTCCAAGGGAAAGTTGCCCAGGGGGTGACTGCCCTCCTTCGACGCTCAGAAAGTACCCCTAAATTCTGCAGTCTCGAGTCTGTTCCCCTCAACCCCTCCCCCTTTCCAGATCTCAGAGCTAGAAAGGGGCTTATTCCTCTGGAGGGGAGCATGTTCATACGGCTCATTTAATTCCGATGGTCAGAGAGGCAGAATTCCAGACCCAATGCACCCCACCCCTTTGTTAATGTGAAAGCAATAATAAAGATAGACCCTCTCCTACATCCCTCTCCCCCCCACCAAAACAAGAAGCAAACCAACAACTCACCCCGGCATTGAAACAGTAACACTAGTTTCAAAACCTGAATTTCTAGCCCGACTTTGCTGGGAATTTCATTCAGCCACCAGCCCTGTCCCCCCAACCCCTTTCCAAACTGGGTGATTGTGGATCTCGGAAGCAGCTTTTGCGGGATCTGCTGGTTTGAAAGCCGGAGGAGGCTGAGAGGCTCCAGTGAACCTGCCTCGCCATCCCTCCGGCTCTCTGTAGCCGCAGAAGCCACATCCCTGCCGGCGCCACAAAGGAGCGCTACCTCCGCAGAGAGAGGACGTGTGGGCAAAAGCCAGTCGCTCCTAATGCGCCTGTCTTTCCAAAAGGTTGGGTGAATACGCTGGCTTTGGGGAAAGTCTTTAATTAGCTTCCACAAACTTCTCCTTCCCTTGTCTGCAGCTTACCCTGAAGTGGAGGGTTGGAAACTGTTTTACACCTTGCCACTCACATGTTAATTAATCTCTATCTAACCCTAATTGCAGTTTATTCAAGCACCGCTCAACAGCTCACCCACACAATAAACACTGGTCCTACTTTTATACATATTACTTCACGTTAACACATCGAGTAATTAACTCCAGTACCAACTAATAGTGCAAACAAATATTTTCTGTAAACGAGATGATTTCAGGCAGAAGAAGAGAGGACTGGGGAAACGTGAAGCTTGGAGGAGGCAGCTCTGAGATTTCGCTTTGCTGCCTGCAACCTTCCAAATTCCTCCTCAGTTGCAGTATTTTCCCCCCCTTTAGGGTCAAAATGCGTTATTTATTTTTTTTTTAAGAGAGGGACAACCATAGGAATTAAAATGTCACAATTCCAGGGAGTTGATGGAGGGGTTCTGTGAGCTAATGTAACTTTTTTTCTTCTTGCACATTTTCAGGGAGGGAAAAAATCCAAATGACATAATGGGCAAGAGGAAGGTCCTAGAGTAAGATGTTTCAAGGATGTGGATCCATTCACAGAGAATAGAGCTTGCCAGCCCCCCTCTCTGAGGAGTCCCGTCTTTAAAGCGATGCTTTCCCCATCCCAGTGAGCCGAGATTGTGGCGGCAGACTGGAAGGCTCAGTCTCTCTCCCAAACTGGTGTACAAGCTCCACTTTGGGCATTCGCTGCCTCCAGGCTCACAGCTAGACCAGAGAGCCACTTGACCTGGAGGGAGAGGTCGGGTCCACAAAGCCTGCTAGGCCTCAGCCTCTCTGCCCCGGGATTGGGACTCGCAGGCAGCGCTCCGGCAGTTTCCGGGAGCCCAGGCCCCTGGCGGGCAGCCTCTCTGGACGGCCTGGGCTGGAACCCCGGTGCATGGCCTGCCAGGCCTGGACCCACCGTGGGCTCCCCCTCTGCCCCGAGGATTCCTCTCCGGGCCCATCTCATTCCTGGTGCATCAACGCAAAGACAGACGCTTTCCCCTCAGCCCATCTGGCCCGCGCCCAGGCCTCCAGGCTGCGGCTGGGGCGGGAAACGCTGCCTGAGGAAGCCTGAGCTCTCCCCATGGTGCTCAGCCCAGCGCTGCTGCGGCTCCACCGGGCCTGACCCAGACCGCGACCTCGGGGATCTGGGGCTGTGGGTCGCGGGACCCCAGCCAAGCCACTCGCGCGGGTAGGGAGTAAGGGGGGGGGGGGGAGCCAGGCTCAACCCCAAGGACTGGAGCTCAATGTTTTAATTGAAATCGCAGTTTAGGCTCAGCTGGTGGCTGTCTGTCGATGTTGCTGGGGCTCCTCTGGTGGGAAGCATATGAAATGTGACTGGCCGGCTGGCCTCCCCGCCTGCCCCCGCCCTCCAGCCTTTTTGTGGTCAGGAACCCAAACACTGTAATGGTGACTTTTGTTTAAAAAAAAAAAATGTAATGCCAGAAATCGCCCTACTGAGCAGACGCCTTGCGAAGGTGAAGCCGACCTCAGAGGAAAACCCCTTTCTCCAGCGAAAGCTCACAGGTTGGCATCACTTCTGGGATCTCCCAGGGGCAAGGCTCGACTCCAGGAAGGTGTCACTCCAGCCCCGGCGACTTTTAGCGCTTGGTTCTAGATGATATTAATTAAAACACTACCATTTTCTCTTCCGATGATTAGATTGCAGTCAATACATAACGCGCCATCCCACGCCACCTTCCCAGGGGCTGAAGGTGCTGAATAGATCCGAGGTTATTTCTTCTGGCTACTCTGTAACTTGTTTGGAAAACAAAACAGAAAGAGCCCCAAACTAAACAAACTTTATGGCTGAAGAAGTCTCCATCCCTCCCTTCCTTCCTTCCTTCTTTCTAAAGGGACAGTTAGGATCTGATTTACTTGGTGCCGTGCAGCAACGCTGAAAATAGATGAACTCCTGAGGACGAATTCTTCTGCGATCCCACCCCCAGGAAGCATTTTATTGAAAACATTCCAACCGGCTTGCCAGAGGCGGCTCATCCCCAGCACTGGGGGCCTCGGCCCCCGGGTGAGCACGGTTTGCAGGATTAGCGCTCCGGAGAGACAAAGAGCCCCAGATACCCCGGCGAAGCGAGGCTGGGTGCCCGGAGAGCTCCAGAGCTCCGGATACCCGCCGCGAGAGCAGCCTCGGGCCTGGCCTGGGGGACAGGTGGGCCAGCGCCATCTGCACCCGCCCGCGTCCCAGGGAGGCTGGGCAGCCACAGCCAGGGCGGCCCAGTGCCAGTCCCACTACCCCTGCGGCTGTTCTGCAAAGGGAACTGGTTTGTAAAATTAATGCAC